AGAGATAGATAGAGACTGCCTGAATGACTGAGCGTGTCCTCCATCAGGTTGTCATATTCATGAAAAAAAAATTGTTTGCAATGTCCTAAGTGTAATGTTGTCGTAATATCCTAATATCTTTTCAATGTTTAGGGGTAACGTACTCCCTCATGACTGGTGTCAGTGCTATAAAGTGAAGCATCAGCTTCAGCTTTTCCCCCTGTCGTTTATCCCAGCGTTTACCCCTCACATCACTAGCTCCGCCCTTGCGCCATAGCTCGTGACCAGAAGAGAATATGAGTCGTTTTGAGGGGGAGGGGAGGTTAACGTTTTTGATTAAAGATTACTAGGGCACATGAATTCAAAAAAAAATAATGAAGTGCACGGATCAATTATTTATAATAAACACTACAGTATTCCATTAAAAAATAAGAATTTTCAATTTTGATTTCATGGTGACTTTAACCATTCAGCGCTTGTGCACTCTCCTGAAGACCGTGCGCTCATTCACACTCGCAGCGCACATACATAACGGCAGGTTCACATTACTCAGTTTGCAGTGCGTATGCGGTGCGTATTTTTTCCGCGCTTATGTTAACGGATTAAAGCGTTCACTGCACACGGTTGCGGTCCGGCAGTGCGTCTGCGGCAGTGCAGAGATCGCTTCCGCACCGAGTCTATTGCTGCGCTGCAAGCGCTGAATTAAAGTGACATGAACATGGATTGACACGAAAATGTAGCAATTACACTATAAATGCATATTATTAAAGTCTACTGTGTTTCACAGTCAACACATGGCTTTTTGGCTAGGTTTAAAGCCAGAGGCCCATTCTTCGTACGTCGCTAACTCAGTTAGCTGGATTTGATTGTTGACAATTTGGCATGATCTTGGATTAGTTGGTTCTTCAAAGCTCATCCCGGAGTTGCTGTCATAGCAACAGGTCCATAATCTTAAACCTGCTCAGGAGCAGGCTTATTTCATGTAAACAGGATTAGATTGCATCTTTTTACGAGGAATTGATAGTTCAAATCTATCCCAACCACTGCTACTTTATTACAAGACTACCCTACTGATCCAGGGACAATAAATTAAAATAATAATAATTAAAAAATTAATTAGAAAATAAAATAATATATGTCCTAAATGTAATTTATTTAAAGGTACTTTCTTTCATTGTGTATGGGAGTGTGAAGAAATCTTGAAGTTTTGGAAGGGAGTGCAAAATTTGATAAGTAAAATAATTAATGTTACTATTCCCCTTGAACCAAAAGTTTTTATATTAAATTTATATCCTAATAACTTTAAATTGAGAAGAAGAGAACATATTTTTGTTTATATGTGTACTCTACAAGCTAAACGTCTCATAGCTCTTCACTGGAAAAAGGTAGAGGCACCAAGTATAGGGAGATGGTTAAAGGAGTTGGCAACAAACATGTCATTGGAGAAAATAACATATATTATTAAGAGCAGATATAAGGGTTTTGAGGATGCTTGGAAACCCTTTATGATTTTCTTGGAAGGAGAAAATAATGGAGATGTATTTGATGGGATATTTGAAGACATATAATGGAAGAAATGTTGAAATTGTCTTGTACTAGGAGGCCTTAAACTTTATTTTATTTTATTTTGTATATGTTTGTGTGTATGTGTATATGTATATATACAGTGGGTACGGAAAGTATTCAGACCCCCTTAAATTTTTCACTCTTTGTTATATTGCAGCCATTTGCTAAA